CCCTCCTCCCCCTCCTCCTACTCATCCTCATCCTCCTCCTCCTCTTCCGGCACCACCTATTGCTGTACATCACCCAGCCCAAAGTCTGCGGAATGAACGAGATACTCGATAAATTTTTCCCCACACAGAAAGTATGAATTTCGCTTTATTTTCTGTTGTTCACGCTTTGTCCAACAAAGGAAATTGTTAATTCCTACCAGCCTGACTCGACCCAGTGACAGAAATATATGCAATGTTGGACCCATGATAAAAGATATGTGCACAACTTGTAGTTATTCATTAAGGAAACTGTTATCAAATGAGTGCCTTATATGATGTGATGTGGGCCAATGGCCTTAAACACTGAATAAACTTACTTACTTCCCCACTCAGATATGAGACTCTCGTGGTCTAGAGATGGGGTGCTCGCCTCCCATTAATAGGTCTTGGTTTCAAAACCTGACGGCGATGGAAAATTTTCTTCGTTAAAATGTTCTCCATTTACCTGCTTTTCAGCTCTTTAATCTAGTTTTGTCATCTACTTTCTTCCCCTTCCCCCCTTCCTTTGGCTCCTGACTCTTTCTACTGCAACTCCTTGGCTCCTTCTTACTGCTGTCTTCCAGCCCACCCCTGATCTTGGAGTAGGCAAGATCGAACACCTAGCATTCTCGGATAAGGGCGAAAAAAATCTCGGAGGCTCCGTGTGCAAGTTGCGCACGTTAAAGATCCCTTGATGGTCCTGAAATCGATAAGAGTATTATGCTTCGGTCGCCACCTAGGCAAACTTCAAAACTGCCAGAGGGAAATTGCTTAATATGTCCCACGCGCTCACATGACCCTATGCAGTTGTGAGCGCCGTAAAAACACTTACCAAAACAAACAAACAAAAACATTGCCATTCAAAAATAGAACTCTCGTCTATGCGAGAGCGAAGTGCCTTACCCCTACACCACAAACGCCAGCCATAGAAAGACTAGAAAGACCGAAGATCCACCCATACGGCTGGGTACGAAGTAAGCACCCAACTGCCCACAATGTTCTAAAATTCAGTTCTGGCACAGGATGAATTGTGTGAGAAGATACTATCATCGGCAGGGTCTTATCAAATCAGTTCGTCCTGTCAGTCTCTAGTTCATCATCATCATCATCATCATCATCATCATCATCATCATCATCATCATCATCACTGTTTTTCTCACTCTGGACCAGGTTGTATAGGCCACGCATAAACACTTTCCACATTGTTTTCCTTATAATCCCGGACTGGCCTTTTGATATTACTCCTTGTCTTCCTGCATCAATTTAGTGTTCACTGTCCACCCACTGCGTTTTTCCGGTGTGCTGCTACAATGTGTGGACAGAAAAAGCGATTCCCAAACGTCAGTTGCGCTAAATTAAGTTGAAAGAGTACGGTTGTTTAGCTGGACCTGACAAGTCATATAACAATGTGATCACCCATTAGAACAAAAGTGATTATTTTATTCGGAAAAATGTGTTACATCTACTTAATGAACTGAACGTAACAGCACCACACTCTGGCGTAATCCCGGTTCATTGTGGTGCGCATCATTTGACTCAATTTGGTAAGGTCAAAGATCGAACATAACAAGATAGTTGACTACTCTCTTTGAGCCAATTAAAAAAGTGTCCTCAAAATTCGGTGGCGCCCTCTTCGAAAAAGCGCGGACTTTGCAATATGAGTTACGTAACCTACTTGTGTGGAAAAACAATAAAAGTGAAACTAACAAACTGTGCTATTCCTATTTTTCTTCTGGAGAAACGAAAGAGAGATTCAAGACAAAGACTTCAGCGCCATCTGAACCAATGAGCGGACTTCCACGTACTCTTTTTTGGCTGAGTGAACCATCTTGTAGAGTAGGATCTTTGGTAAGGGCAACATAGAAAGACGTGCACCTACTTATCAAATCAGCTCGTCCTGTCAGTCTCCCGTTCATCATCGCCATTGCCTTTCTCACTCAAGATCACGGTGTATAGGCCACTAACAGGCGTGGTTCGTCCATTGAGCACGGTCGTGCAGTGCCGCCCAACATTTTTTTAATGTTCTTTTACGTAAAACACCCACAATAATAAAATAAAAGCCAGAAACAAACACTAGAAAATATTATATCAAAACAAGGTCCTCTGGCGCCATAACTGTCATTTCTATGTCTATAGTGCTGTAAAACATCTACTATGCCATGCTTAAGTCCACCACGCGCTTTAGCTAAACATGATAGGATATTCAACAGTGCAACCTGACCTATAAATTGCTCTTGGGGATAACCCAAGCGATGACGACACTCGTAGTGAGTTTAGCGGTACATTAATATTAAGAAGACGGCACATCTCAAATGTGCTCCTGCCGTATAGTGCCGAAACATAGCTCACAGTAGGCAGTCTAAAAATAAACGCGATAGACTGTACGTTATTCTTTGCCAATATTATGTGAGCCCCGGAGCAATCCAGCGGAGTGCTCAAGTGAATTGTGATTGGTCCATTGTCTGTCTTGCCACTATTTTAAGTGACTCTGTGACCGTGAACCTGAGAGAGGTGAACGTGACCGTCCTTTGAGTTGTGCCTTTGAATGGTTTTGTAGTGGGGTAGTGAAAGTTATTACTTGAGCGTTCAGTTCCAATACAGGATGAACGAAATTGCTGTTTAACTACAAACAAATTTAGTACCGGTGCTATGAATCAAAGCGACAAGTAAAAAGAATGAAAATAAAAGCACGAGGCCCTCCCTCACCTACCCAAAGATCCTAAAATTACACACCATCTCATTTACTATGCCCTTGACTATCTGCAGCTTGCGATAAGCTAGCTTAAATGTGCACGTCCACTTTTTAGCCCAACGAGCCGCCCCTGGCCCCGAACAAAGACTTTCCTTCATATGACCTTATGCAGTTGCGAGCGCAAGTTTAACTCTTACACAAACAATCCAAACAAAAAACACCTACAACAACATTTTCCACATTTATTCTTTATCCCGGACTAACATTTTGATATTATCCGATGTCTTCCCACATCATTGATCTTTCGGGCGCAGATGCTGCCTCATCAGCTGCCTCACAAGACCTAAAAGTTTGACGTGTTTACTCGTGTTGTTTCTGTAACTTTTTTTTTTTTTTACATTTCAACAAGTGATGAGAAAAGTCAACAAAACCTGTACAAGATGTGGGAACCATCATAAACTGTAGGGCCCACATATCCGGCTCTAAACACTGTCTGCGCTTAGTGCACTCTCTTGCCCTTTTTAACTCCCAGTGAAGTAAAGGCCATCAACATTTCTCCAGCGAAGCCTGCCCTGTGCATCCTTGTATAGCCGTTTCTGTTTGGTGGCTTCCTTTCGGCTTTCACCACCCTGCGTCATTCTACACTCCATTTTCTCTCCTCTCTTTGGTGATGAAGGTCCTCCATCTTCCAGAACTGGCGGTCGTGTTGCTTTTGCTGTTGATGTTTTTGTAGCTGTTGTTTTGTTTTACGGAAAAGGGCTGCTAACCCTTTGCCCAACCGACCTTAGTCGCCTTCTACGACATGCGCGGTACGGATACAGTGGTCCTATTCTTTGCTCCCCTGTCTCTTGGACAGGGCCCCGGGAACCACACGGGAGTGTATAGTGCACAGAGACGAGAAACTTTTTAACTTACTTATTTATTTATTTATTTTCATTTAATGTAGGCATTTCTACCTCCCCTCCCCATATACACCTTTAAATGATTTAGAAAGCGGATTTTGACCTTGCCTGTCAGGGCCAACCCGGGCTGATGTGGATACAACATCCCAGCAGAAAGACCTAAAATCTTGATAAAGATTAACCCAACTAGGGAATCGAACTCAGGTCTCTTGCATGCGAAAATGAGCGCTTAACTGCTACACCATAACGCCGATTGTGAGAACAGGGAACAGAATAACATTTTTGAGCGATCGAGCTGAGATGATATCAACAGTTGACGTGATTACGGATTACTTTTTGCGAATCGTAGACAGGCCTATCTGAGGGCGAGGGGGAACCTGCAATTACAGTTGGCATTAATTAAGGGAAACATGATAGTGGGGAGCGCTCTGTTAGCTCAGTTATAGTGCGGTCAAAAATTCGTGGCGCGACTTGTTGTCAAATATCTCCTTAACTATTATTGAACATAGGTTCTCCAGTTTTTGCCGCCCTGGGGCCTACATTACACGCGACGGCAGGGCCGACGCAGGCCCGATATTAAACAGAATATAGTGTCGCCATCGACATATAATGGATAGGTCGGCAGTTGCCCTTGGGCCGACATTACTTGGTTCGGAGTGGCCGACTTCGGGCCGACATGCAAAAGTAGTAGCGAATGAGTTCTAGCCGCCTGCAGCGGCACATGTTTGCCGAGAGCGGACATTAACGTTGTCCTACATGAAATAGATTTTGGGCACCATTTTAATGCTGGCTGGGAAAATGCCAACTCTGGAACTTTGTCTAACAAAAATTAATGTGAATTACCATATTATTCCAGCTTTCGACTTCACGGGTTGATGTTTTGGATGTTTGTTTGCTTGGGTTGTTGTTGTTGTTGCTGTTGTTGTTGTTGTTGCTGTTGTTGTTTTTGTTGCTATTGTAACTCATGCATTCTGTCTGCTCTTAAACCCCGGGCGCCATCCCTTCCCCCTTTTAAAAAATAATCTAACCTGTCTTGGGGGCTCTCGGGGCCTCGATGTTCGCCTCTCATTGAAAGGTCCTGGGTTCGAATCCGGGTCATCATCATCCAGTGCCAGATCTGCGAAAGACATCGGCGACCATGATTTTCCATTCATTCCTTTGCTCGGATGCTCTCAGAAAAGCTACGTTTCCCTGATTTTTCCCTGTTACCCATTTGTTG